CCAAACATCCATGCTTTTTTTTTTTTTTGGTATTCAGGTAAGGGATAAGTTTATTCATTGTTCTGGCTGGCACCAGGCCATGTTGGCCTTCCAGGCAGCTGGGAAAGGCCTGGGAGAGAGTTGGGAAAGAGAGAGAGCTGGGAAAGAGCTAGAAAAAAGAGTATCTGGGCCTGGGCTAGGCCTTATCTAGGGTATGGGCGGAGAAAGGTGTGGCCACATCAAATTCAGGTGTGCTAGTTGCCTAGGTAACGGAGGTGTACTGGGTGGAGACTTTGCTGGGAGGAGGGTGGAGTCTGCTCACCATCCAGGAGCAGACCTTACATTCCAGCCTTTTAATAATCATGAAATAGGGCGCGAATTCTCTCTGGCTACTTCCTGCTGACAAGGGGTAAAAGGCTGGAATTTGGTACCCTCCCAGAGAAGGCAGCCAGCAGCAGCTGTCCCTTGGTGGAGTGAGTCCTTAGATGAAGTCTGGAGAAGTCTCATGAAGCATTAAGGGGCTGGAAAAAAAATACTAGAGAGCAAATAAATGGCAAGAGGAAGGACTTGGGGCTGAAAATGTTGGTAGAAATGTCCCTAGCTACTTCTGACATCTGGCGACTAGGTAGAGAAGTCAGGTGACAAAGGCAAGAATATAAATTCCTGTTCAGTTAATAGGTAGACAGGTATAGACATTGGATGGGCAGGCTTCTCACTTCTATTGACCTTCCAGCTCTGGTTAATCTTGAAAGGGCAGGCACAAAGTAGCTGAGTCTAGGTGCTCGTTGCTGGGATGGCTTGTCCCAGTTGGTATTCAAGGAGATTTGAACTCAAGGCCTGGGCACTATCCCTGAGCACTTCTGCTCAAGGTTAGCACTCTACCACTTTGAGTTATAGTACCACTTGCAGTGTTTGCTGGTTCGAGGTAAGAGTCTTGAGCCATGTTTCCAGCCTGGCTCTTTGCAGGTTATTTGGGAGATGGAGTCTTAAGGATTTTCAGCCCGGGCTGGCTTTGAACTGCAATCTTTGCCACAAAAGCCCATTATTATTTCCAATTAAAGCAACAAGGAGATCAAATAGAATAGAGCTTAACCTGGTCCTTATCAAGAATTGACCAACAAATATTCTGCAATGACAAAACTTGTTAGATGTAATGATAATTTTAGCACAGATAGGCCCAGTATTTTAGAACTACGTAGTCAGTAGCAGAATACACAACACAACACAAAAAAGGAAAAACTCAAAACCTAAAATTTTTGACAACAATGTGTAGACATCTTTGCTAACAAAGCACATCAGATGGTTGGGCCTCAGTTACCAGGGCCTGTGAAAAGAGCAACTTGTTAGCAAGGCACCTTAGAATAGATGGAGTAGTAAGCTTGGTGGAAGGTTAAGGGTCAGATGTGGCCAAACCCTTAACCCACCACGTGGCCAAGATGGTGAATTTCTGAAAAAATGCAAGGAAACCCTGAACAAATAGATCAAGCCTACATTGGCTAGCCTTTGAGAGGGAACCTAGAGGGGGGTCCCTGGGACCCAGCCTGCGTCACACTCTTCAGGGCACAAGCCAAAATGTTGTACAAAAGAGAAAGAAAGAGATAGGCAAAGTTAGACATGATTGGCAAAGAGACCCTGAAAGTAAACAGACTTCTGACCATTTACCATAGCAGTGGCAAAAACTGTTTAAAATTGAGAATGGCATAAAAATTGACTTGCAGCACCCTATTAACTGTGTAGGAGAGTCAGTCTGGTGAGTGAAGGACAGCTGACCAGGCAGAAGTGATGTCCCGACTTCCCCCAGAGCCCTCTCAAGAGAAATGGCCAAGCCCCCAAAACCAAGTGTCCTCAGCTTCGGAGGTGACAAGCCTTTCAGCTAAAGGCCGTAGGAGCTCTCTGGTGTGGTGCCACGTCTGGACAGAGACTGAGCAACAGAGAACCATAGAGAGTAGTTTCACTCACCAGAATAGAGAAGTGGTGTGGACATGGATGTGAAGGCCAGCAATGGTATTGGTGAAAAATCTCACGTGGTGTCTCAAGGCAGTTTGGTTCACAGAAAAGGGGTGGTTAGGAAATTCTAATATTTCCAACTCATTGGAGTCACGGCACCATTTATGTTAGGTTTTTAAAAAGAGGTAGCCGAGTAAGAACAGCACCATGCATGTGGTATTCAGGTAAGGGGTAGGTTTATGCATCGTTCTGGCTGGCACCAGGCCATGTTGGCCCTCCATGAGGCTGGGAAAGAGCTGGGAAAGAGGGAGAGCAGGGAAAGAGAAGAGAGAGAGCTGGGAAAGAGCTAGAAAAGAGCTGGGAAAAAAAGCATGCTTTTTTTTTTTTTTTTTAGTTGTGAGGCTTGAACTAGAGACCTGGATGCTGTCCCTGAGCTCTTTTTGTTCAAAAGTAGCAATCTCCCACTTTGAGCCACGGCACTACTTCCAGTTTTCTGGTGGTCAACTGAAGATGAGATTCTCACGGACTTTCCTGCTCAAGCTGGCTTTGAGCCTGGATCCTCAGATCTCAGCCTCCTGAGCAGCTAGGATTACAGGGCTGAGTGAACCAGAACCCCACTAACTCAGGCTTGGCAATATGGGATGACAGATAAGAACCACCATGCCAGGTAGTTGGTAACTGACGGGATAGGACTTCAGTTCTCTCAATTTCTACTCCACAGGAGCTGGGCTTTCAGGTGGGAGCCACTAGCCAAGCCTCAATTTTGATAAGTTAAAGATTGAGTTCAAATCAGGAATCTGTGGCTCCTGTTTGTAATCTTATCAACTTGAGGTTAGCTAAGTGAAGAATCCAAGTAACAAGGGGCTGAGAAGGTGGCTCAGTGGTAGAGTGCTTGCCTTGCATGCCTGAAGCCCTGGGTTCGATTCCTTAGCACCACATAAGCAAAAAGAAAAAAGCCGGAAGTGGCGCTGTGGCTGAAGTGGTAGAGCGCTAGCCTTGAGCTGAAGAACTGAGGGACAGCGCCCAGGCCCAGAGTTCAGGCCCCACGACCTGACCCCCCCAAAAAAATCCAAGTATCAGGATATTCTGGGTGAAGAAGTTCCTGATCTCCCCCAAAATAAATAAGCCTTGACTGGAGCTGTGACTCAAGTGGTAGAGCACTGCTTTGACCCGCCCTCAGGAACAGCACCCAGGCCCTAAAGGTCAATGTCTAGTGCAAGCACAAAAAGCAATAGAAATTTAAAGCACCAATAAACCAGTCAGATACCCTAGCTACTCAGGAGACTGACATCTGAGGTGGTTCAGATCCAGCCCAGACAGAACTCCATGAGGCTTTATGTTTTTTCCCCTTCCTGGGGATGGAAGTCAGGGCCTGGGAGCTGTCCCTGAGTTGCTTTTGCTCAAGGTTATCATTCTGCCACTGACAGCACCACTTTGTGTTTTCTGTGGATGTGGTACTGAGGAATGGAACCCTGGGCTTCATGTGTGCTATGAAGCACTCTACCACTAAGCCACATTTCCAATCCTTGAGATTCTTCTCTTCAGTTAAGCAGCAAAATTTTAGAATTATTTGATTCTGGTGGAAGACTGCCAGCCTTGAGTAGGAAAGCTAAGGGTAAACAAGAGGCATTGAGTTCAAGCCCCATACTCTGGGGATGCTCTCCTTTTTTGTCTCTTTTTCTTCTTTATAGTAATTCATTTCAGAGGGTGGGTTGTGGGAGTGGCTAAAGGAGAAGTTCTGGGTGTTTTGGAGATTCTCTTTCTCTGTGTTAGTCCTGTGTTCTAACCCAGGTCCTCTTATGTTCTGGGGACCCCCACCGCACAGCTCCACCTCCCTGCCAGAGCAGTTCCTGAAAGGTGAAGCCTTGTCTTGAGCTATGTCCCTCCTCACCCCCTGCTCCTCTGGCAGTGGGGAACATCTCCTGGGTGGAAGAGCAGCCTTGTGAGTCTCTCTCTCAGAGTCAGCCTTGGGTAAGGACTCCATCTCAGAGGTGGAGCTTTCTCTACACCGCACCAGCCTGTACCTGGCTTTACTATTGTTCAGTACCAGTGGTGACACTGAAAACAAATGGTGCCTATTGCCTGTAGTCCTCATCCAGACAGGCCAGGATCTCTAAGAAGGAAAAGAGGACAGAGATCGGACAGCTGACATTCCTCTGGCTTTCCTTTTAGCACTTTTGAGTGATGGCCAGAACTTAAGACAACAAGCTAGGGTATGCTGTGTGCCCTTAGCTAACTCCTATCCTCCTAGCTACTTTGTAGAAGGCTGAGATTTGAGGGTCGGGGGTCCAAGACAGCCCAGGCAAGAGAGTCTTTTGATACTTTGATCTTCAAAGGGAACTATGGTTCAAGTGGTAGAGCACTAATACTAGCCCCCAAGGAAAGTGTCAGGACCTGAGTTCAAGGCACAGGACACACACACACACACACACACACACACACACACACAAACACAAAGCTTGGGCTGACCTTTAGGCTCCTCATGACCTGAATTCAAGGCACAGGACACACACACACACACACACACACAAAGCTTGGGCTAACCTTTAGGCTTCTCATGATCCTTGACCAGAGCTCAGAGTAGTGGCTGGAACTGGATGGGACCATGATGAGCTTGGGGCTGTCTATGTGGGGAGCATCCTGCTGCCCTGTGTCCCAGCGCTGTGCTTGGGGGGCATCGGGGCTATGTGGAAAGGGCGTGAACGGACATCTCCCCATGGCTGGAGTCCAGATGTGGACTTTTTTTTTTTTGTCGGTCATGAGGCTTGAACTCTGGGCGCTGTCCCTCAGCTCTTCAGCTCAAGGCGAGTGCTCTACCACTTGAGCTACAGCGCCACTTCCGGTTTTCTGGTAGTTTATTGGAGATAGGAGTCTCATGGTCTTTCCTGCCCGGGCTGGCTTTGAACTGCGATCCTCAGATCTCAGCCTCCTGAGTAGCTAGGATTACAGGCATGAGCCACCAGCGCCCGGCTCAGGATGTGGACTCTAGGATGAGTTCTCTCTGAGAAGGGACTTCTCAGCTTCAGCCGCTAAAGCTGCCTCTTCCTGTGTGCTCCCAGGCCCTCTCCCTGCAGCCCCAGCACACTGAGCACCATGTCCCTGCACACACTGTGGCAGCTGGCCATGCAGAGCCTGCTGGAGGACCAGGCCTTGGCCATCTCTGCGCTGGACGTCCTTCCCTTGGATCTCTTCTCCACGCTGTTCAGAGAGGTGGTTGCCAAGAGACGCATGGAGGTGCTGAAGGCCATGGTGCAGGCCTGGCCCTTTGCCTGCCTCCCCCTGGGGGCCCTGGTGGGCTCAGCTGACCTGGAGATCTTACAAGTCACCCTGGAGGGCCTTGATGTGCTGCTGGAGCAGGGAGCGGGGCCCAGGTAAGGGGGACCCTGGTTGGGGGCCAGTGAGGATCCTGGAGTCCAGGGATGAGGCACACCAGAGTCAGGGAGAGTGGGGTGGACTCAGGAGACCTGGGGGCCAGAGGATCCCGGGGATCCCTGAAGACGACCTTGTGGAAGAGAGCCCCTGGGTGTGGAGGGTTGCTGGAGATGGCTGTAGGTATGGCTGACCCATCCCCCCCTGAAGCAAGCTGTGGTGATGGATTGGAGAAAGGTTGGGCAAAGATTAATCCTAGCTACTTAGCTGCTGAGATGTTGAAAAGTCAGCCTGGGAGAAAGTGCCGGAGGTTCTTCTCTCCAATGAATCAAAGTAGAAAGCCAAAGCCGGGCGCTGGTGGCTCAATCCTGTAATCCTAGCTACTCAGGCGGCTGAGATCTGGGGATCACAGTTCAAAGCCAGCCTGCGTAGAAGAGTCCCAGTGAGGGGCTGGGAAGGTGCCTTAGTGGCAGAGTGCTTGCCTTGCATGCATGAGGCCCTGGGTTCAATTCCTCAGCACCACATAAGCAAAAGAAAAAAGCTGGAAGTGGTGCTGTGGCTTAAGTGGTAGAGCGCTAGCCTTGAGCTGAAGAGCTGAGGGACAGCGCCCAGGCCCAGAGTTCAGACTCCACAACCAAAAAAAAAAAAAAAAAAAAGAACAACTAGCCTGGAGTGGAAAAACCTAAGGGGTAGCATCCATTCTTTGCCTTCAGGCCCTATTAGTAGTGCACAAAAAAACCAAAAAAAAAAAAACAGAAATATCCGAACTAGGACAAAGCAGGAGGAAATGGGGTGCATGAGATTGGCTAGATCAAATAATGATAAACAGAAAGTGTCCGTTCTGCCATGTCTGTTCTGAGACTGTCCTGTGTCTCCCCTGTAGATGCAAACTGCAAGTGTTAGATCTGCAGAATAGGTCCCTGAACATCTGGACCTCAGGGTACATAGCAATGTCTAAAGCCTGCTCAGCAGCAGCCCTGACTGACAAGCCAGCAGCCAATCATTGTGCAGACCTGAGGGAGAAGCCCCCCTTCAGGATATTCGTGGATGTCACCATCAGTGATGGCCCCTGGGATTGTGTGTTGGCCCACGTGCTCCAGTGGGTGGAGACAAGAAGAGACCAGGTTCAGCTGTGCTCTAAGAAGCTGAAGGTTCTGTTTGCCTCCATCTCTGGCTGCACCTCTAAAATACAAAGCACTCTGCGTGTGCTTCACCTGGGCTCCATCCAGGAGCTGGTTGTGGATGATTTGTGGCATCACAAAACAGCGGAAAGTATGGTTCCTTATCTGGGCAAGATGAAGAACCTTCGCAAACTTTCTCTTGCTAAGATGAAAATGGAATGTTGTTCTTGCTTCATGGAGAATTTTCACAAATACTTGTCTGAGATGCTGCTGCAGGGAAATCACCTAATTTGTGACCTTGAAAGCTTCTTCCCTAATGAGAAGCTGGAGAAGGTCTTCAGGTGAGGATCCTAAAAGCTGGCACAGGGAGGATGGTCTGTGAGACTTTTACCTATTACCATCTGCCTTTCCTCCCCCAAACTGGAAGTGAAGCAGTGGTTCAAATTGATATAAAGATAGACTTGAGCAGAAAAGCTCAGTGAGCACACAGGGCTGAGCTGAACTTGGGGTGGGTAGATATGAAAGGGGCTTAACTGTGTGGGGTGACTGCGGGGCTGAGGGGACTGAGGAGACACAGGAAGAGGCTCCTCCTCCTGAGGGTGCTGCTTAGTTCTGCCCTGGTCTTCAATGAAGTCAGAAAGCAGGGTGCATGCTGGGAGTGTGCTCAGGGCAGGAAGCCCGCTGTGGAGTCCTATGTAGAAGTGAGTGGCTGTGAGTTCCTCTATAGGAAGCAAGTCTGAACTCACAGGATAGAAACTGGAAGCAAGGGGAAGAGGAAAGGATGCTGTGCTGCGATGCTCAGATGCATGGGTGGTTGGGCCCTGCGGGCAGGAAGCCCAGTGGTGTGTCCAGACAGTGAGGAGAGGGGGCTGGAGGGGGTGCAGCCTGGGTCAGGCTCAGGTGGCACTGACAGGCATCAGGCTGGGATGGTGGAGTGACAGGGGTCTCAGCCAGCAGCATCGTGTAGTTGGTCTCCCTCGGTGCAGCAGGACAACCTTTGCTGACCATCTCCTGCCCGAGTCTGCTCTGCTCACCACCACCATTCACCCCAGTCTATCTGCTCTCTCCTCAGGACCCTGAATCCACTGACCACTCTGTCTTTGATTTCAAGTCCACTGAATGAAGCAGACCTGAGGTGTCTGTCCCTGTGTCCCTGCACCAGTCAGCTCAAGCACCTGCGTCTCAGGTCTGTGCACATGGGTGACTTGTGTCCTGGGCCCCTCCAAGCTCTGCTGGAGAGAGTGTCTGGCACCCTGGAGGCCCTGGCCATAGAGCACTGTGGGATCACTGATGACCAGCTCTCTGCCATCCTGCCCGCCCTGAGCCAGTGCTCCCAGCTAAGATGGTTCAGCATCTATGGGAACCCCATAACCTTGGCTGCCCTGCAGAACCTGCTGAGCCACACAGCCAGGCTGAGGCAGTTACAGCGAGGGCTGTATCCGGCCCCTGTGGAGAGCTATGATGACCGATGTTTGTTGTATGGATGTGAAGTCAACAAGGAGAGATTTGCCCAAGTTTGTGTGAGCTTGGTGCAGATCCTTAAGAACACACAACCATCTCATAAGGTCCAGGTCTGCACTTACTCATGCATAGGCTGTAAGAAGAAACAATTCTATAGCCTGGCACCCAGTGGCAACTGGGTAGTTACAGAGGAATATTCTTTTACTCGGCAGTCTAACTCCTGTGGGGTTTGTGCACAGAAATAGTGCATGCTGTTGCTTGGAAGTGAACCTGAATGTCCCTTTAGGACACTTGTATATCCAATGGGAACACAATCCCTCTGCCATCCCATAAGGGAAAATATAGGAGAAGACAAGTTCCTTTACTCTCCAGTTTCATTGTCAGGATGGTGATGTGGGGTGCTCTGGCCACCATGGACTCCCGTGTCCTGTGTCCTCATTAAAGCAATCTGAGTGTTCCTGTGAGGAACAAGAGGGAATTCCTGGTTCCTGAATTTTGTATGGACATTAACCCATCCTGATGGAGAGACTTCCTCTGTTCGTTTAATTTTATGATAATAAATAAGTTATTGTAAGGAGAGTGCCTTTGGTTCATGTCTGTAATCCTAGCTACTCAGGAGGCTGAGATCTGAGCATCCCCATTCAAAACCAGCTGAGACAAGCAGGTCTGTGAGAGGTTTTTCCCCCCTGTTGTGGGGCTTGAACTCTGTGTTTTGGCGCTGTCCCTCAGCTCTTCAGCTCGAGGCTAGCACTTCTCCCCCATGAGCCACAGCGCCACTTCCGGCCTTTTCTACTTATGTGGTGTTGAGGAATAGTAGCCAGAATCTCATGGATGCAAAGCAAGCACTCTACCATTGAGTCACCTTCCCAGCCCCTCTGTGAGACTTGTCTCTTCAGTTTATTTCTTTTCCTCTCCCAAAGGTGAAATGGGCCAGTGGTTCAAATTGGTGGAAGACTAGATTTGAGCAAAAAAGCTGAGGGATACTGTCCAGGCCCTGAGTTCATGCCTTAGGCCTGAAAAAAGAAAAAGAAAAATTAAGCTGGGTGCCAACAGGTCAGGCCTGTAATCCTAGCAATTCAGAATGCTTGAAGATCACAGTTGAAAGCTACTCTCGGAAGGAAAGTCCACAAGACTCTTATCTCCATGGAACCACCAGAAAACCAGAAGTGACACTGCCTCAAGTAGTAGAGCTCTTCCTTGAGCTGAATTGCTCAGGAACAGTGCCCAGGTCCAGAGTGCATGCCCTATGAACAACAACATCAATAAAATTAAAGCAAAATTACTAGTGAAGCTTAGGCACCAGTAGATGAATATCTGTAATCCTAGGTACACAGGAGAGTGAGTCCTGAGGATGGCAGTTTCCAAGCAGCCCAGGAAGAAAATCCTCGAGTTGCTTACCTCCAATAAGCCTTTTGTGAGGACAGACAAACCTCAGACTTGGAGCTGGGTCAAGTGGCAGAGTGACTGACAGCCAAGGGGGAAAAGGCGAAGGGACAGAACCAAGCAGGGACAGAACCAAGCGCTCAATTCAATCCTCAGTACCTGCTTAAATAAGAAAGGATAATGCTCATGAGTCTTTGATAGAAAACTAGTCCTAAGTCTGGGAATGTGGCTCAGTGGTAGAGTGCTTCCCTAGCATGCATGAAACCCTGGGTTCAATTTCTCAGTACCACACACACAGAAAAAGCCTAAAGTGGTGCTGGGACTCAAGTGGTAGGGTGCTCTCCTTGAACACAGAGAGGCTCAGCGATAGTGCCCTATCCATGATTTTTGCCCCAAAACTGGCAAAAAGAAAAAGAAGGAAAGGATTCTGTCCAAATCCAGGTGCAGTGGAGAACCCGTGGCTGATTTCCTGCTGTGACATGACTAAGGAAGCCGCTGGCACCTGTGCATTGAGCACTGACCATGGAGCCCACTAACTCACTTGGGGCCAGACTGCTTCTCCACAGGGGCTGTGAGGCCTTCCACACCTTGCTGCAGCCCTGAGTGCCAGCTCAGCACACTACACATGGTGAAGCTGACGTCCACCTCTGAATCACTGGAGTGATTCCTCAACCTCCCCAGACCCATCATCATTCACAATGCAGCATCTTCCTTTTCCACACCTGGTTGAATACAAGAGGGGCTGGAAGCCCCCAGGGTGGCAGACAGCATGGGGAGGTGGGGACACAGCTGTGGTGAATACAGCTTGCAGAGTCTGACCAGCAGGGGGCAGGAGAGGCCGGCCTAGTGCAGAGAAGCCTGTTGTCAGCACACACCAAGCCCACACCTGAGGCTCCTGAGCCAACTGTGAGGAGTGTCCAGGGCTTTGCCATCTGGCCAGCAGGGAGGGGCTCTGGGAAGGAGGGCCTTGCTCCAGGGACTGGCTCTCATTGCCAGGCCTTGTGTCCACCTGTGGGGCAAATGGCCAAGCTGAGTTCCCTCCAGTCAATGTGGAGGCAGGGACGAGATGTAGTCTTAGGCCTGTGACCCAGACTCTGGGGAGTTCCTCAGAGCCACGGTGCCACAGCCAATGCCCAGCAGAAGAACGCTGACCTACCATCAGCCGTCTGCAGCAATGAAGAATTCCAAGGGGCTCCTCAGGCCCCTGAGGAGAGAGCAGATGGCTACACCTGAGAACTGCTGGAGACAGGGGTGGATCAGCCTCAGAGGAGAGGACCATGTAGAACAGGATCCAGGCTGCTGTGACCACAGCCAGGATGCTGTGTGGTGAAGAGCCTGACTGCAGTCACAGCCACCCTCCAGGGGTCTGACCCCAAGGGCAGGTGTACTGGAATGCTGGTATTCCCCAGACCCCACTCACCAGACAGGTTCTCTGCAGTTCAATAGGGAGAGAGGACTTCAGAAGTACAAAGCGATCAAGATGTCACTGGAGTTCTAGAAAGGGAGTGAGAATGGAAGGAAGAATCCCAGGGAGGAAGCAAGGAGAAGAGGAAGGAAGGAAAGGAGGAAGGCCTTGTGGACATGGCTCAGTGTGGAGATCTTGACCGGCAGCACAACACCCCAGGATCTAACTCAAGCACAGACAGACATGACATGTGCTAAAATAGAAAGGAGTGCTGAATGATTCTCTGAAGTGCCAAAGATTGTACAGGGGGCTGGGAAGGTGGCTTAGTGGTAGACTGCTTGCCTAGCATGCATGAAGTCCTGGGTTCAATTCCTCAGTACCACATAAACAGTGCTGAAAGTGGTGCTGTGGCTCAAGTGGTAGAGTGCTAGCTTTGAGCAAAAGAAGCTCAGAGACAGTGCCCAGGACCTGATTTCAAGCCCCAGGACCGGAAAATGAGCAAAACCAAAGAACAACAACAAAAATATTTGAGTTATAGTTCAGTGTATCCTGATAGCAGAATAATATACCCAGTTCCCCACTCTCTCTCTCTCTTACTGTCTCTCTCTCTTTCTCCTCCTCTCTTTTTCTCCCCCCCCTCCCTGTTCCTCTCTACCCCTCTCTCCCTCTCTCTACTTCTCTCTCCCTCTCCATTGTTTGGTTGGAGTTCAGGGCATAGTCCTCTTGATGTAATTGGATGCAAGAGTATCACAGCTCGGCCTTGGTATCTCATGCCTGTAATCCTAGCTACTCAGGAGCCTGAGATCTGAGGATAGCAGTTCTAAGCCAGCCCAGGCAGGAAAGTCTGGGAGACTTTTATCTCCAATAAACCACTCAGAAAATCAGAAGTGGTACTCTGGCTCAAGTGGTAGAGCGCTCGCCTTGAGCTGAAGAGCTCAGTTAATAGTGCCCAGGCCCAGCGTTCAAGCTGGAGGACAGTAAAAACAAGAATAACAAAATGTCTCACACTTTTCTTCCTAGTCTGGTTTTGAACTACATTACTCAGAACTCGGCCACCTAAGTAGCTAGGATTCAGGCATGAGCCAGCATGGTTTGGCTTATAGTTTTGTTTTGATTATTTGTTGGTTGGTTTAATCAAAATAAGTTATCAGAATGTAGTGCTGTGTAAGCCATTCTGCAAGTAATTCTCCTTTCAGCATCCCTAACAGCTGAGAGTCTAGGAGTAAGTTGCCACACTGGGTTTGGGTGCATTTATCATGCAAAAGCAAAAAAGCGAAAACAAGAAGAAAAAACAAACCTCAAATAAACAAGATTGTTTTATTTCCCCGTTAAATGAACAGAAAACCCATCATCTGAGTGCTAGTGGCTGAGGACTGTAATTCTGTCTACTCAAGAGGCTGAGATGAGATTATCCAGGTTGCACACCAGCCCACAAAAGAAAAAAAGTCCAGGGCTGGCAAGGTAGTTCAGTGATAGAGCACTTGCCTTGCATGCTCGAGGCCCTGAGTT